ACATGTGACCCCAAACCTATTGTTTATGTGAAAAAAGTATATTTTTATTATGATATTTAAGTATACACCATAAAAGTTTTGTAATGATAACTATATTTACAACAATTAATCCAAACTCAAGTTTGCCTGGTCTGTGAACTTGGCAGCTCTATTGGAGACAGTTTGGCTGATTGTCCGTTCAGCACCTGAGCAGCTGAAAGGTGTCGGCTGGGACAGGGATCTGAACGATTGGACACTAAAGTAGCTCTTACGTGTCACTTCTGGTGTGAATTACAGCTGAAAGAAAAGGGGAGGGCACACTGAACCATGACCTCGCAACTTCACACTCGACAGACTGAAGGAGTCAGTTTACTATGTTTTTAGGCGTTTATTTATTGTAGGTCCTTCTTTTAAACACCTGTAGGATATGTTATATTAGTATAAAGTTTAAGTTGCTTGGTCCAACATCTAATGTGAGAAGCATTTCTTCAGAGATGCAATCATAGACACTTAACACTGATCTCTCTGCATCTCCATTCAAAAATCATGAGACTGTGTCTGTGGTGTGGCTTAGGCTCTTCGGGTTTCCTGTGTAATGACCAAACAGAGTGAGAAGAGATAGAAACAACGTAGGGAAGGAAGCGTGTTGAATAGCTTCAGGCTGTGTGTGTGGTATTTCTCTGGGTTGTAAAAGTAAATTGAAATTGTCTGTGGGAACGTGGCAGGACATCAGGTTGAGCAGCGCTGCCGAGGCGCCCAGCTCTGAGCTGACAGCTGTCACTGTGATGGAGGCAGCGGATAGATTACCTGACCAACTGAGGAAAGGCTCACACACACTAGCTCACATTTAGCTAACACTACTTTAGGCTCCAAAATGTTCTTTGACTCAAATAAACTCTCTGAGTGAGAGACACAGAGAGAAATAGAGCATGCTGAATCATCATAGTGAGCAGCACATTTTTTTTGATGGGGTAGTTCTCTTTTTTTTCTTTCATTACCCCAAACTATCAACGTCACCACTGTGTTTAGTTTGTTTACAAGTTTGTGTGTGTGTCTGTGTGCCTAATTGGAACGCCTCTGGTTTACAGTATACCCAGTTTAAACCTATAGCAGGTTGAATAATTAAAGTATTGGAAGGGTGAACCCTTACCAGAGCAGTCCTTATGCATTGTGTACCTGTGTTTAGTGTATTTGTCCCTAACTAGTGATTTTCAAACTCCACAAGACTTATTTACTGGAAATATAAAAAAGCTATTTTTTACTGCAATTTTTCTGTTCTTTCCTCATAATTCATTGTTTTAGTATTTGTTTACTAATGTGTCTAAGTGTGTGAGTGTGTGTATGCACTCCATTCTTCAGTACTGAGAGGTGCATTGCTGGGAGGCGGATCAGCGTCTTGCAGCTGCTTATCTAGCCCAGGTGGGTCACGGCTGATACCTGCCTGAGCCACGCAGAGCAGCTAACCTGGAAATTGATGTTTCACATCAGCGACCACCTCTGCCTGCTCTATTGCAGGGAGGCTGTCGGAGTGAGGGCGGCTTGTGCATATGTGTGTGTGTGTGTGTTGCTTGCATGTGTGTTTGTGTAAATGTATCTGTTTGCTTTTTTGTATCTTTCTCTGTGCCCCTTTGAACACGCATGTGGCAGTTAGTGTCGTGTCTCGAGCAAAAATATGTTGCTGCTTTTTATGTCAGGTCAGGTGTTTCTGTGCATACAAAAAAGAGCAATTTTCCAATTCAAAGGTTAGGAATTAAGAGGAAAAGCTCCTAATATTCAAAAATCTGAATGTTTTAGAAATACAGCACACCACAGAAGATTTGAAGATATTGTTACTGTGGCGTGCATACTGTTCTGATTATGACTTTGAAAATGACTTCCTGCTGAGAGAATAGCCTGTTTAGAGTCCTTTAAACACCATATTCTCACCCCCTGTTGTTGTTGTTGTTGTTAGCAATAGCTTCTCATTTAATCCAAGTTCGATATGTCTAAAGCTCCTTACACACCAAACTGACACCAAAGAACACGTCCCCACGGAACGTCGCCTCACGTCTCCTGCGTCTTGGCCATGTTTCGCACTGGAATTTCAATGTGCTGCAGGTCCCCCTTGAAAAAGAGATCGTTGATCTCAATGGGATTTTCACCTGGTTAAATAAAGGCTACAAACAAACAAACAAACAAACTGGAACACACCGCAAAGACTTCAGCTGACGGCCAAGTTGCACGTACGAACTGCGCATGCGTGAGTGGCAATAACTCTCCTTATCAGCAGGCGGCGGTAGTGTGTATTCGTCATTCAAAAGAGGCAACAACCGGAAGACAGACTGCGTGATACACCGAGAGAAGAAGAACAGACTGCATGATATAAACAAACAACAAATTGCATGTGTGTTCCATTTTCACTCTACAATGAGAAGCTCATGGGGCTTTCCCGAACCTGTGTCAAGAGCTGGAGTTAAATGAAATCTCAGATTTGCCTTCTTAATCATTTGTTTGGGGCCCTCACTTCCGTTTCGCTTCTCATGCACTGATTCGCTAAGCTGAACAGCCAATCAGAGTGATTTATTTAGCCGACGGCCTTTTACCGGCAGCCTACTGGCGGAAGGTGGCGGCACGGCCGAAAAGACACGACGGGGCGGGACACACCAATCTGAGTAGGGCGACAGGACACTCATCGACGGCCAGACATCTATCGACATCTATCGGCGCCGAAAATCGGCTTAGTGTGTAAGGACCTTAAGGAACACCTTACATTTTTTATGAATGGGCCATGTTTGAAAAAGCATTCTTCATTGTGTGATGTTAAGAATATCAAATGTATTATAGTATACAGAGTTATTATTATATTACTAATATATTTATTTTTTCCCTATAACAATTGTTTTTGTATGTGTCCTGTTTTGCAGTGGTGTAAAGTTTATATATTATAATCAAAACATAAAATATATATATTTCTGAAATGGTCCAATCTGAATAAGGCGTACTTTTACTTTTGGTACCTACGTATATTTTGATGCTGACCTATACTTTTTCTTGAATAACATTTGCAATGCAGGACTTTTACTTGCAACAGAGTATTCCTACACTATGGTACTTCTACTTTTACTCAAGTACAAGATCTGAGTACTTATCCCACCTCTACTGTTTTCTATCCACTGACCAACAGAACCCTCCTCTCTCCTGTGATCCCTTCACTCACTTTTCCTCCATTTTTCTTTTCTGCTGCTTAACCTGAAGATCTGCTTAAGAGGCCAGGTGAGAGCCGGAGGCCGAAGACAGCCAAGACGTTACGTAGTGAACGTGGTTATCTTCATTAAGCCAGGCTCTGTTTGTGTGTGTGTGGGAAGGTCTGTTTTTTAGAGGTGTGTGTTGGTAGGTGTGTGAGTCACAGAGACAGAGCCAGAGAGAGAAAAGTAAATTTAGTGACAATAACAGGAATCAATCATTGTGATCATAAAGGGCCTTCTCTGCTGCTGAATGGATGTTGATATCTCTGACTTCCTGCCGAGCACAAACACTGACTGATCTTCTCAGAAAGAGATCAGCAGCACATGTTATCCTCCCGACAATAGAGTTTAAGTAACAGATAAACAGATAAGAGCTTATCTACTTTAGTCTAACCTTGAGTGCAGCGAGAGATAACTCATCTTTGATGCATCACAGGCATTTTAAACATTTAGCTGCACTGTCAACAGATGTAGGGCTTCAACTATGATCATAAATCTGATTATTGTAATTTTCGATAGCGATTGCTTTGTATTTACAGTATCAGAAAATGGCAAAAGATGTTGATTGGTCTTCACTAAGCGCAATATGACATCCTCAGGTGTTTTGTTTGCCCAAAACTCAAAGATTTTCACTTGATTGTCATACACGATTAAAAAAAACACTGTAAATACTCCCATTTAAGATGTTAGAATTAGATATTGTTAACTTTAAAATGTTTTAATAGTAAATTGATTGATTTGACTTTTTTGTTGAAAAGAAAAAAAGTTAGATTTATTTTATTAATAGATTTTTCCTTTTTTTCATAAAATTATTAACTACATTTTGATGCCAGTCATCACAAATTCAACAACAATCTAACACCACATGACGAACCAAGCACAGTTCACCAGTTCTGAAGCCAGCCTGTGGTTGAACTCCGATCTGAGACCCCTCCCCAGAACATCCCCCCGCCCCCTCCCAGTTACTGAGCTTTTTGTTCTGCAATTCATGTTTTCATTAGAAAACTGGGCGCAACCGAGTCAACGTGGGAAGGATAAGAGAGCAGGAGAGCGTGCAGGGCAAAGAGGGAGAGGGGGAGAGAGGGTGAGGAGAAATATTTTGCTTTCAGTCTGAATCAGAGCAGATTCTTCTGTCTTTTGTGTTTTATCTCTTAAACACGCTACACTCTTCAGCTGCTCGCCAGGATTCATCATGACCGGCTTCTTCACTTCCTCGGTTGGCCTCATCTTCATTCTGATTGGCTACGCTGCTGCAGGTAAGAGAAGTAGCTGGGTGTTGAAAGGAGGGAGGGGACAAAGGTCAGACAGCTGGGAACTGAGTGGGTCAGCTGTGATGAAGGTGTGCTGATTGACTATAAAGATGACTTATGTTGTGCAGTTAAAATGTATTATGGTGCCAGTCATGCCTTGTACATACATTATGTCTTTGTTGCAACACATCTGATCTATTGTGTGTAGAGAAACACTGGACACCATGGGAGTTAATGTCCATACGTACGTGTGTGTGTGTGTGTGTGTGTGTGTGTGTGTGTGTGTGTGTGTGTGTGTGTGTGTGTGTGTGTGTGTGTGTGTGTGTGTGTGTGTTTTCAGCACATCTGCTTCTAATTTCAAAGTCTGTCGACATAGTTTGAAAACAGTCACTCTTCGTGTTCTTCTGCCTGCTCCTAACCAGAGTGTTTACCAGTATTACTAAAGTCCAACGGAAAATCACAGAAATGTGAGTCAATCCTCGAGAGCCAAATCTGCGAGGGACAGCCTCAAGTGTGAATTACTCTGACTGCATACTGCAGGAATGACCAACTGCAGGAGGCAAAGTGAACACTCACACACACACACACACACACACACACACACACACACACACACACACACTGAAAAACACATTTGCTTCCAACCACACAGACACAAGCATTTAATCTAATTTAAATATAGTTATGGAGAAAGATAGAAGCAGTAGTTGTTTAACGCCTTTTTTAGGCCACCTCCCTGCAAAAATATAGTCTTGGATATGTAAGTCAGAAACAATTAACCCGCAATGGAAAGAAAATGAGAAATGCACCCTAGATATGGCCTCATATTTCTGAGGAAATAAGTGCGCATTGGAAACATTGTGTTGTTTGTAAGTGGTTGGCTACAGATGAGGTCGCAGCCCTTTAGCAGGTGAGATATCTGGGTTGAAATGTTAAACACTGGAAATGTCAGTTGACGTTTAAGCACTGAAAGCCATTGAAAAACATCTATTTGTGTCAGTGTGTCTCTCAACCAAACTTGATACTGTTAACCAACCTGAGTTATTACTTTAGAAGAATACATTTCTTAAATCTACATTTGAAAAAGATGCTCTCGCCAGACTTACGCCCGAGCTTCCAGAACCCTGGGGAAACTATTTTCATTGTGTAACCTGATGGGTTTAGATGGTGTATTGCTGCTGTGATTATATTTTACAAAAGTTTGAAATGAATTGTTGAAATATTTTGTGAAAAAAATGATTATGGTTCATTTAGTTGTTTGAACAAAAGTGCAAATTTGCAATAGGTGCAACTACAGACATGCACACATTCACATACACAGAGTCACACAAACAATTGTGGACTTGGCTGAGCTCCCTCTTTCCTGCAGAGAGAGCACATGCACTATTTCACACACACACACACACACACACACACACACACACACACACACACACACGGTCATTCTCCTCTATCCCTGGGTGGAGTTTGTCAGTGGGTTCATCATATCTGTTTGCTTTTCCGGTGCTGTAATTCCTAATAGTGTGAAGGGTTTCGTGTGTGATTCCACAACCTCCTGGAATACTTCTGGCAGGGGGGAATGGTTCATATAAGCTGGACAAAAGGCAAAAGCCAACACAAACATTCTTGGAAGTTTGGAAACTCAGATTTATAATAAAACCTCACATCTGCTTCTTGCATCCAGCACAGACACTTTTTCCTTCTCAAAACAGCATTCATCAGGAACATCAACATGTATACTCTCTGTTGCAGCTTTCCACATCAACACACACTGACACTCAAACTGAGGCACATTGTGCTGATGTGTTATCTAGCAGCACATTCCGCTACAGCTGAAAAATGTGGTCGTTTTGAAATGCAACAACAGGAAACCAACACTTTAATGACTTCTAACTCCACATGCTTTGTATTAAATCTCTTATGGCGCACTACAGCACGGAGCGCGGTTTAAGCGTGCCGTGCCCGGCCCGTTTTTTTTGCGTTTCCACTAGGCATAGTTCCGGCTAGCGGGTACTTTTTCACAGTTTTTCTGGCTCTCCAAAATTGAGGTTCTTTAGTATGCTAAACTAGTGAGAGAATCGCTGGCAACTACAACAAAATGAACATATTTTACCGTGATATAATTGTAATACACTTTTCAAAATGATGCCGAAGTAACAACATACAGATACCGGTTAGTAAAAACCATGAATTAATGCTTGACAAGTCTGCAGACAGACGGCAGGTAAAAAACCTTTTAAAATGTGTGATCTTCTTATTATAGACACATGCATTTCCAAACATTTGGTCTACCTACGCTGTAAAATGTATTATCTCTTCGATTTACACACGGCATCTATTGCACGTCTGTCCGTCCTGGGAGAGGGATCTCTCCTCTGTTTCTCTCCCTGATGTTTTCTCCCATTTCCCCTTTAAACTGTGGGTTTTTCTCCAGAGGTTTTTCATTGTACGATGTGAGGGTCTAAGGACAGGGGGTGTCGTTTTCTCATACTGATATTCTGCACAAACTGTGCTGTTGTATTTGCTGTAAAGTGTCTTTACTGTAGGGTATTTTTATTATATGTACAGCACTTTGGCTCGACCAAAAATTGTTTAAAAATGTGCTATATAAATATAATGCAATATAGGCTATATGCTCCGACCGTCCACACTCACAACGGCCTATATACAGACATAAATAAACCAGCGACTGTATTCACCATGACACAGACAGTCAGTGGTTAGTACTTGTTTAACTTTTGTCTAGTTTCTGAACAGATATGAAGAGCTTGAGTGCAAACAGCTAGCGGCTGATATTGTTTTTTCTGGGGTGCTCACAGGCGCTCATTAAAGATGATGTCACGGCTCCGCCTACACTGCGTTACTATAGTTACTGCCCCAGCTCCTAAACTGTAATGGAAGTGCAGCATTAAAGTGAGCCGGGCCTAATAAGGCCTAACCAAACCGAGCGAGGCCGAGCGAGGCCTGCGGTGGAAATGCGCCATTAGAACACGCTGGAAGGAGTTTTTAAGACTCCTTTCCAAGACTAAAACGGTTCTGAATCAAATTAAAATAATACATTCTAAATGAGGGTATAACATATTAGTATCTCTGTCTTATTTGAACGTGGAAAATTATGAAACTGTTACCTTGAGGTACTCTGGGGACGGGCTGAGGTTATTATAACTTATGTGAAACAATGTTGGATAAGATTGTATTTTCACGAGCCATTCGTTACCTTCTAAACCAATGGACATTGAAGAACTATAACACAGTAGTACGTAAATCAATCTTTACTGATTTATTTATTGTTTGTCATGGCATGTCATAACTCCACAAAAGATTAGTAAAAATACGCGCAAAGGTGACTGTCGGCCTCCGAGCGAAATTCCACGGCTCGGACGCCCCGGGCTAAAACAACGCGAGGTGAATGGATCAAAACCGGCCCGATGAAAAGTGAAAAAAGACCGGCTGATTTAGCACCAAGATAGCTCCGGTGTTTGTCCGACTCGCCGACTCATACGATTTGATCTCTCTCTTAGCGCAGTTCCCCGATGTTATGTTGTTCTACTTGTATAAACTGCAACTAAATTACATATGTCAAAGTTTTACTACGGCTTCAATTGTGATATGACTATGCCAACATTTGTTTGTACCGAATACGACTGTTCAGACGTCTGTCATGCGTCCATTTTTTGAAATTTTACACACTGAGAAAAATAATATCTGTGTACGTAAGGTTTGTAAACAGTATGGAATGCGAGCATTTTACATAAGATAGAGAAGCTAATGTGTGCGAAAAATAACGTGCAGAGGCAGGACCCTCTCCCTAGAAGGAAAAAGAGAGGGACTACAAAAGGAGGGTAAGGGAAAGTTGACACCCAAAGAGTCTCAAAAAGTGGAAATGTACCTCCCAATTCCTTGTCCCACAGCAAATAGAGTATGACTATAAGACGGTTTGACACGACAACATAAACGACATTTCACAGAAATGACATCCATAAAATAATAATATACATGTCGTGAAAGACCGAGCTGGTTTTTCAAACAAATTTTTACACGATATATTATAGTTACGTTATCACCGATATACGAGGCTGGCAGGGTGAGTGTTGCGGAATATATGGTCTGTATTATTTGGTCGCTGACATAAAGTGGTAGCTGTGTCTGCTAGTCTACCATCCATGAACAAATAAAACAGATCAAAAGACTTGTCTATATTCTCGAACTCTACGTTTGTCGATGCCGACTATAAAAAAAAAGCCCCACGAGGTGTCCGCGAGGTAAATTCACTACAGTGCCGGGCGGATGTGACGAATGATATCAATGACGGGGCGTAGGATTTGAATCCTACTTACGTCGTAATTTCACTCGGCCTGGATTATTCCGGATTGGTTTGGCTCGCTCGGCTCGTCTCAGGAGCCACCTTTTACGGGTAATCTTGTGCGACCTTCCTCAAAATTCTGAGGAAAGGTTCTGATTTGCAAGACTTAGTTAATTTTATGTCATGTGAAGATTTACTCCATATTTTCATAATCATGAGAAGAATAAACTCCCTTTTAATTACTTGACAAGGGAACTCATGAGACCCTGCCCGACTCCTGCGTATCCCCGGGAGCCCATGACGTGGTTAGCGAGTAGACGGTAGTCTGCGTGTGGTGTGTTGTGTGTGTGTGTGTGGTGGTTGGTGTGTGTGTTGTGTGTGTGTGGTTGTGTGTGTGTTGTGTGTGTGTAGTGTGTGTGTTGTGGTTGTGTGTTGTGTGTGTGTGTGTGTGTGTGTTGTTGTGTGTGTGTGTGTGGTGTGTTAATAGTTGGTAGGATCGGTGGTGTTGTTTCACTGATTTTTCTGACTACCGACAATGTCACACATGGACCTCTTTCCGGTAACTCGACCCAAAACGAGAACAGAGTCCTTGAAGACCAGCTACTAAACTTCCCTTCAATGACTCCCCTCCCCTCGACCTCAAAGAAGTTACTACGTGTTGTGACTCTCTGCTGTTGTGTATCTGTTAGCAAGCTAAATTTAATCTCCTAATCAAAACAAGATTACTGGTTACCCAAAAAGTATCATATTGACTTCCGCGTAAAGTTTTTTACCTTGTAAATACTCATCGAAGTCCAATATATCAATTTGGTACCAGTAATTTTTTTATTAGAGATAATTTAGGCTTAAACAGACAGCAAACAGACAAAGGAGTCACCAAAGGGAGTAACTCTGCTTGAGGTCGAGGGCGAAGGGAGTCATTTGAAGCGAAGTTCCAGGGAGCTGGTCTTCAAGAACCCTGTTCTCGTCTTTGGGTCAGAGTTTACGGAAAGATGGTCATGTGTGACTGTCGGTAGTAATAAAATCATGAAACAACAAAACCCACGAATCCTACCAACATTAACACACACACACACAACACACACACACACACACAAACAACACAACACACAACACAGCCACCACCCACACACACACACACACACACACACACACACACACACACACACACACAACACACACACACCACAACACACACACACACACCACATCGCAGCGACCGTCTTACTCGTACACGGTCAGGCTCCGAGAGNNNNTTGGCCTCCGTCATAGTGTTGTTGCACAAAGATAAATGTTATTATGTGAGAAGTAATATCGTACAAACTGTGTCTTCACTTCCAGCAGAATAGTATTCACTTGCTTTAGTGCTACATTACTGTTAAGTTAGACCCTCCAGAAAAACGCGGGCTAAATTCCTTGATTATGAGATTAAACATGCGGGGTTTTTATGTGATTTTCTGCGGTGAAATTGCGGGAAGTTACGAAATATGCGGGGGAAAAGAATAACAATTTTTTTAA